CGCTAGATTTTAATGCAGTGGGCATATACTCCTCCAGCGTAGGTGTGTGATTTTCATGGTGCCACTTGCTCTCAATTTAGTAGGCTTGACATTGTTGTTTCATCTGATCAACAAAAGAAAAATGAAATACAAAAAACCATCCAACACAACTTAATGTAGCTGATGATGATAGGGGGTTGGGGGGGTGTTGGGGACAATACATACAGCTTCTTTCACAAATTCTACACGATATAATTTCCCTTGCTCGATCATCAATTCTTCCATTTCTTTATAAACATTTAAGAGTTCAGCATAGCACAATTTCATGTAGTTTGGAAGTTGATCCATACAGTTGATATCCCACCTACGATTCAAATGTCAGTCAAATTCAATTTCCGGTAATAACAAGTAAAGGTATTCATAATATATGCTTAGAGTAACCTGTCAATCGCTTTGGTAAAGATATCAAGCTCTTCATGTGTTCCATATGCATCATATATATCATCCACAATTGATGACATAGCGGTAACTTTTGCTGCGAACTTTCTAGCAATGGTGTAATGGGGTTCAAAGTACACTCCCAATACCCACAGGTAACCTTCGACCAATCTGTCCCGTATGAAAGGGAAATTGGTCCTCACATCTAATCCTTTCCACCACCTAAAATCAAGAACTATACTTTTAGATCATTTATGAATATGTATGTATGTATGTATGTAGTGATTACCTATATATCTCACTTATCTCCTCCTTGTGCAGATGTTGTACTTGCAAACTTGACTAAAGTTTCATCTTGGGAACCATATTGTTCATATATCGAAATGTAGCTCCGAGCGACCAACCTCGGCAAGCTCTTGCGGAGGGGTCGGTTTAGAGCATTAGCAATCTGTATGGAAAGAGGACAGGGTACCCTAGTTTGGGCCAATTTCAGATGAGAGTTGGTGAAAGCAAGAGCTTCTTCTAATATATCTTCTCCATGAAAACCGAAGTTTGCAGCTTCATATAATTCTTGCAAACCTCTCACGTCACTAATCAATGATCCCTTGAAGTCTCCTTTCTCATCTTTGAACTTGTTGAATGACTCTGTTCAACCACCAAAGACATTACAAATAATCTTTTTTATTAAAATCAAAAAGTTTCAACAAAGGCATACCAGAAGGAACATTGAACCCATGCTCTCTCAGCAATCGAAATCGAACTGCTGTAGTGTAAAGATCGTGACTCTTGTTATCCTCGACACCATGTTCATGTATGATGTGTAAGATATCTTCAATCTCTTTCTGGAAATGGTAAGCCACGCCTAGTCGTTGGACTGCATCAATTAAGTCCAACTTTTTGTTGCTAGGTCTTCAAGAGTTCTTTGTGATCCAAAAGCTTCTTAGTCACATGTATTTAATGTTGATAGTGTAAGACGTAATATCACAAGTTATTATCTGTTTAAGAAATTTTTACTTATAGACCCTATGGATTTTATTGCTCAAACTTAATTTACGTAGGTCAAAATTTACTTTTATCACTGAAACCGCTTGATATCACATATTTGTTGATTATAATTTTTTTAACTGTGTGTATAATGATTGATTTTTTTTAAAATTAGAACTATGATATATCCATTGGCTACATAAAACATCATCAATATCGTCTTGTCATATACATACAAGAGAAATGCATTCATGTCTATCATAAGCAAAATATAACAATGACAGTTTGATAAACAAGAGCGTGAACAATTGAGACAACAACATATAGAGATGGATCACTCAGACGTCCCAATGCATCAGACGAGAATGAAAACTCAAAGAATATCCGAAGTGAACGAATGAAAAAAAAAAGAAATATTCCTTTAACCACAGTCTTGTCTGACAGACACATAAATCTTAGAACCAACAGAGTGTCATGCAAATGAACAAAGGAACCATGCATCGAAAAAGCAATCAACCATGGAATCATGAAGAACTACATACCAAGAAAAAGACTAATGAAATAAACCTGCACCGGGAGTCCAAAAACTCCTGTAGCCACAATACCATTTATTAAAAAAATCAAGAAAAAACATTATTATAAATACGTTAAAATATAACTTAAAATTAACAAAATCAATGACAATCAATTAAGAGAAGATAAAAATGACAAGGAAGTGACCGGACCATCACCGCTCTCCTTGATGAAAAACTTACCAACTGCAATAGAGGTTTTGTTAATAGAGAAAAACATACTACATGACAATTCGATGGTTGAAATCATAGTTGTTTATATTTGTTGAAAAATATTGTTAGTATAATTGTTAGAAATATAATTGTTTATGGCAGTTGTTATTTTTGAAAAATTTGGTATCATTATTATGAAATTTTTACAATGTTCGACAATCATCGTTGAACACCGCTAACGATGAGTACCACTGAACATCATTAATTTAATTTATAGAAATTTAAAATTTTAAAGTACATAAATTAGTTAGAAATTTAAAAGTGAATTATTTAAAACAAAATATTAATTACATTATTTTCCATAATCTTTTTTGGATAAATTATACCTGTGACCACCTAAGTATAGTCTCTTTTTATTTTGGCCACCTATTTTGAATTTTGGTCAATCAAGTCATCCAAGAATTTAAATGCATTCAATCAGACCACTTGCCGTTAACATTTAACGGAAGTATTGACGTGGTAGTTAATAAAATTAGTATAATTATACATTTGTTCACTGTTACTTATATATTCTATCAATTTGGTCCTAATTTAATAAATTAAAATAAATTTAATCTTTAAATCATATTGTATCGCGTGTCACTAGTGCCAAATAACACGTGTTGCCACTCAATTGGAGGATTTAATTTATTTTGATTTAATATATTTAGTTTCCATCAATTAGTAGGTTACGCGTATCACCCTATGGTGGAAAGAAAATTAAAAATGGTAGAGAATGAAACATGAGACTTGAACTAATAGCCATTGGGTGAGAAAGGAGATGCTCAACTAGTAGGCCAAGTTCATTTTTTTTGTTTAATATAGACTATATATTTTATATATATTGTTTCGTAGTATAATCTAAAATTCTTAATATTAAATATATCTGAACTTAAAATCACATCTTAACATTAAAAAATATATTTTATTTTTTTCTTAACTTATTGAATATACTTTATTTTTATCTTAACTAAAAATATATTTTAATCCTATCTTAATTAATAAATATATTTTATTTTTATCTTAACTTAAATTATATTACAAAATGGTCACCTGACTATTCATTATGTTCTAAACCCATCATTTTTTATTAAAAAGTTAACTGTCGTCTGAGTTGGATATCAATATGATGACTGAGATATGATAGTCATTTGAGATTCTGTGATCGAATTTTATCATATCAAAGTCAACATATTGACGTTCAGCTCAGACTGTCGTAAATTTTTAATAGAAAATGACGAGTTTGGAACATAATAAATAGTCAGATGACGATTTTATTTCAAAGTATAATGAGTAAAATGGGAGAGAGAATAAAATTAAATTACTAAACGTGTTAATATACCCTTATTTATTTCAAAGTGAATATTCCTTTATATTAAATTACTAATAGTTGATTTGGACAAAATTTTAATTTTGTATGTGTGTGTGTTTAACACCCCTAGATGGTGGGATGTTTAAAAAATAGAAATTAGAAAGGTTTTGGAATAATTTAGATATAAAATCATTATTTAAGGACATACTTGATGTTTTGGAAATAACTTAGACGTAAAATTAAATATTAATCTTTTTATTAACTGTGTCACATCATCAATTTAATAGAGATAGCAGTGGAGTGACCATTTTGTTACAATCGATAGTTAGTGACTATTTTGTTACAAATCGATAATATTAGTGATTAATTTATTACTTTTGAAACTGTAATAAAAAATTACTCAAACATTAGTAACTATTAGAGTAGTTTACCCAATTATATTTTTCATGAAGCAACATCAGTAATATAATATTTTTGAGAGAAGAACAATAAGAATAACAAAGATTAAAATAATAAAATTTTTAAGTATTAAAGGTTAAATTTATTGAATTGTTTTAAATTAACACTAAGTTGATAAATTATATAAATTTTAATGATTAAACTATTATTAAGTAGATTACAATACTATTTCGTTTAATATTTAATAAATAAAATAATTTATTTATAATAATATTTTAAAATTATTTATTATTAAAATTGTAATTGAATAATTTTAAATACTCCATTTACTCTTAATATTTTGACGAGAATTAAAATTGAAGTCTCACATTTAGGAGTGGCAACGAGTCGGGGGCGGGGACAGTTTTAGGGAATCCCCATTATATATTTCGGATATTTTTTTTTGTCCTCATATCTATTCCTTACAGATCCTTGCGGGTTTCAGTTATTCCTCATCTCAAAAAATAAACAAATATTTTTGAAATTCAATACAACACCTAAAACTTGTACGATATATTAGATTGTCTCAAATTGATCTCTATCTATAATATTAAAGTTTCAAACGTAAATATTCATCTAACACTCAATGTATATATACAATTTTAATCATTTTCAATCTCAATAAATTAATGTATATTAAATTAGAAAATATCTAAACTTCAATTTTAGTTCCTTTGAGATGTAAAAGTGGCAATACGTAATCTCACAATCTTATCATATATAACTTTTATTAAAATATATATTACGGGTATATAGGTAAATGATTATAATTATATTTTTAAAATTTTGTAAAATATCATAGATCCCTACGAATATTTTTCGGAGATCCACACGATTATTCACACGGATACATTTTGGTTATTCCCGCGGTTCGAATATAACAATCTCCGTTCCCATTCCTTTGAGTGAAGATTTCAATTTTTTTCCCACCCATCGGTTCAAATCCCCACAGTTTTTGGTTCCCCCACCCGATTGCCACCCCTACTCGCATTTCATTTAATAGATGATATATAATATAGGTATCACTTGGATAACATGCTTTAATTCTGGACTGAAGTAGTCTTCGAATGATCCAATTCGAAGCCCACACAAACAATAACAAAACCCACTTTCCCATTGTTCCTTTCAGTTTCTATCCAACGAAAACACACCCAAACCCAGAAAACATCTGATCTAATAATAAATCGCACATTTGATCCTTTTTCTTGGAGGAACCTCACAAGACAAGTTTAATTTTCACAACTTTGGCTATGAAACGTGGATACCCGGAATCTCCCCCTTCCTCTTCCGGTCCATCTAAATCCCGATCCAGACCTAACCCTCAAGGTAATATTCTCTTCGGGATTTGTTTCCTTTTTCTGGGTTTTTGATGGCTTAGTTTTGTTATTATGCAAGTTATCAGCTTTGGGATTTTATATTTTATTGAATTGCAGTTTCTCAAGAAGGTAATGAAGCTTTTATAATCGTCAAATTCACTTATTATTCATGAAAACGGGGAAAAAAGACCCTGAATTTTGATTTTTAAGTGAAACATTGAGTTATGATGCAATATGGGTTTTAAAGTTGGATTTTTGAGGACTGAAAATGAACCCAATTTTTAGTTCCCAGCTTACAGCTGATAATGAAGAATTCAATCTAAAATTCTATTAAGAAGCTGAATTTGTTTGGGTTATTACTATTAGGTGATGCACAATTTTTGGAGGACGAGAGCACAAAGATTTTTGCTAGGAAAGTAGCTGATCATTATAGTTCAAGAACAAATCAAACTTTGGAAGAACGAGAAGCGAGTCCGATCATTCACTTAAAGAAGTTGAATAATTGGGTATGTTGTCGAATCACATGAGCTGCATTCTAAACTTATGATATATTTGCTGAGTCATTTCTCGTTTATTTTGTTCTGAATTGGACAGATTAAAAGTGTCTTGATTCAGCTTTATGCTCGTAGGGGTGATGCTGTTCTTGATCTTGCTTGCGGCAAGGTATTTTGGGACCCTTATTTTTAGTTTGCTTACTTATTCAATGTATTTTAGACATTGTTTTATGGCTTGTTTTTATGTGTTTTAGGGTGGTGATCTCATCAAGTGGGATAAAGCAAAAGTTGACTATTATGTTGGCATTGATATAGCTGAAGGCTCGGTAAAGTGCTAAAATTCTCAGTTATCGTTTTCTTATTTTTCTTTACATGTTTATCCGGTTTGCAGCTCAGTTAAGTCGTGGGCAATCTATCTGTTATCTAGGCCTTTTTGAGCACATACCATGATTATTCGAAGCTATTAATTTCTTGAAGCAGTTGCATTTGCAGCAGCAACACGTTGAATTTGTTTTCAAGTAGACTTCAAGTAGACACATGTGAATTAATCCTTGGATTTGTTGAATGGTTGTTCTACTATTGACTTCTTGAAATATTTATCAAAATACAATCTTTTGAAACGTGTCTTATGCAATAGTGCATGGGAGTGTAGATATTCTCTAGCTTAAAATACCGGATAAATTGTGCGCTTCTAAGGCCTTCAATAGCCTGCAGTCAAGTTTTCTATCTAAACACATTTCATTCCCATGCTCCTCCAAACCCCAAAGGAAATTAGAAAGTAGAAAACTGCAGCAGGAAAAAGTAATCCTTTCTGTGGTATATGTTTGTGTCACAAATTGCAATATTGATTTTGCATTCTCCATTTATGCACACAGATTGAAGATTGTCGTACACGATATAATGGTGATGCAGACCATCATCAACGTCGCAAAAAGTTCACTTTTCCTGCCCGTCTCATGTGTGGTGATTGTTTTGAGGTAATGAGATTGTTGATAACCTTTATCTTACCAGTGAAAAAATGTCTTTTGGGAAATTGGACCTTGGGACCAACTTATTAACCAAGGATGTACATGGTTTAGCAGGCATTGCAAGATATTTTTTCTAATTTTTATGAGTTGATGATTTTCAGGTGCGCCTCGATAAAGTTTTGGCTAATGATGGTCCTTTTGATATCTGCAGTTGCCAGGTGACTGATGTGCCATTGGAATTTGGAAAAATCTAGTATTACATCTATTCTGCTTCCATATGATAAAGTTACCACAAAAGTTTAGCTAGATATTTTGAAGCTATTTAACAATTTGTCACCTTAGCTGATGCCATAATTGTAGCTGTTACAAGACACTCTTGGATTTTGCAGTTTGCCATGCATTATTCCTGGTCTACAGAAGCACGTGCACGTCGGGCACTGGCAAATGTATCATCTTTACTTCGTCCTGGAGGCACCTTCATCGGCACAATGCCGGATGCCAATGTGATAATCAAAAAGCTTAGAGAAGGTTTACTATTGCAACCTGCCTTGTAGTTCTTGTCTTTAGAAAATGTTATAGAAAGTTGTTTCTCTACAGATAACTCGATTAAATTTTATGCAAAATTGATAGTTAAGTAAAGCAATAACTGAAACTTATGGTTAAGAAACATCCGATATATAACTACATGATTAATAGAATTAAATAGGAAATTTGGTTTCCACAAATATGTAGGTGCCTAAATCATCATTTAATTTATGGTTTCTTTAGATCAATTGGCAAAGCAATAACATAGTTTTAGGCTTGACATTTTTAGGTTATCTAGTCATAATTAACTATTTCCATTCTAGAGTGTGCTACTATTATAGTGTAAAGCTTTCTTCTGTTTCTTGTCGTTTCTTCCCCGACATTTTCGAGCATTAGGATTGTTGGGCTTGACAGACTGAATTCTTCATTCTTGATTTGGGATGCTATTTTCCCTGTAACTATGCAGCTGAAGGAATGACTTTTGGCAACAGTGTCTACTGGATACGATTTGATGAAGAATTTTCCGACAAGGTGAATGACATTTGTTTTGCAACTACATTTGCAGAAAGATATTGATGTTTAATCCTATTCTGACACTCTTTTACGTCATGGTTCAGAAATTTAAATCTTCAAGTCCCTTTGGTATCAAGTACAAGTTTCACTTAGAGGTACTGTTTTTTACGATATCTATTCTTGATATTGGCTGTTCACACCAAATATCACAAATTCTATTTATTTTTAGTATCATAATTTGAGAGAATAATATGTTACATTCGGATGTACTGTTGCAGGATGCTGTCGATTGCCCCGAATGGATTGTGCCCTTCCATCTCTTCAAGTCATTAGCAGAAGAGGTATAATGCTTGATCATGCCAAACCCCTTTTCTAGAAAATGGAGGTTTCTAGCCATATAAATACTATTCTATTCAAACCTCTGTTTCCTCGGAACAGTTTCATGGGGTTTTTTTTTGTTTTGTTTATCATGTACTATAAATTAGTTATGGTTTTGGCTTCTTGTATTGGTCTTGCAGTATGATCTAGAGCTAGTTTTTGTCAAAAATTCGCACGAATTTGTGCATGAGTACATGAAAAAACCGGAATATATAGAGCTTATGAGGAGGCTTGGTGCATTAGGTGATGGCAACCAAGACCAGAGTAAGTTCATCGTTTCCCAAATTCTTCAGCACTTCATTGTCTCGTTTCGATGGAACATGTTGCTATTCATTTTTTTTACGTTCTCGGACTCTTATAAATTGGTCTTTGTTTCTCGATTGTGATTTCCAGGCACATTATCTGCAGATGAATGGGAGGTGGCTTATTTATACCTCACATTCGTTTTAAAGAAGGTTGGCTCCAAATTATGTAATCTTATTAGATTCATATATCACCTCTTGCTATTTGCATACATTGACTTTAGCCATCTTTCGAGTTCCCTTACAATTCGATGTTACTAACTTGTCGGAAAATCTTCTTTCCAGCGAGGCCAACCGGAACGGTCACAAACAAATAGTAGAAAAGATAAAGGACAGATGCAAATAGCAAAAGAAGATATCCTGCATATTAGTAGTGATGTTTAGCAGGAGAACCTAATAAATCCCAAAGAATTTCTTCTTCTCCTTCTTCATATATCATGGCAATTCAGTTTTCTAGGTCTACAGATTCTTGTTGTAACATTGCTTGGTTTGCACGAAACCTTTATACAATTAATTTGTAGTTTTGGGACTGAAATTTTGTACTAAAAGTGCAAAGACTGTGATAATGGCAAGAAACTAAAGGCAAATAAATAAATGCTTCATGTATCCTACTTGCACGTGGGACCATTTTATTGGTAACACACTTATCCCACGTAAAACAAAGTAGTTATTATAATATAACTTTTATTAAGCAAAAGTTTACAATAATGATTTCATTAATAATTTAAGTAAACTTTTATTATAATATCTTTGAATTGGATGAAAACCAATGACAATGAAAGCATATTGAAGGGAAATAAAAAGATTTTACTCTCTAATTTCATTAGTAAGCCAGATTTCAAGAAGAAACACTTCTTTGCAACTCTTAAACATAAACTAAATTTACTTATATTTAACTATGATTGGAAGAGGGGAAAAAACCCCTAATTAGTTATTTTATATATTAAACAAAAAGGAAAAAGGAAAAAGTTTGAGACAACTTGGGTTGAATTTTTTTTTATTTTCATCTCACAGCCTCCAACTCTTCCTCTTTTCTCACTTGATTTTTCAACATCCCTGCAAACATTCCCATTAGTAGTAAACATTAAACATAACAAGGGGGAGGGATACAGAATATTCCGGCACCGGTTACCTCGATGTTTACAGGCAGGAGGTTCTTCAAAGAGGGACAAAGAGAGTTGTTTATGAGCAACACCAATGTCGAACAAGATGAGACCGGAACCAGGATCATCCACAATGATGTCTTTCACGGGCAACCAAAGGAAGAGCTCTTCCTGTGTCAACCCGACAACACCGATGAGGCTGCCATAGGTGAGGTTAGCCTTTACGACGCTGTCGAAAAACACCCTGTTCTCATACTTGGTCAAGCACGGTCCGTCCAAGAAAACCTGCAGGGTTCCATTATCCGAAAGCGTATAGGATTTCACTTCCTTTGGGAGTAGGCCTGCTGGTAAGCCTCTTGAAACGAGGAGATCATGGATTGTTGATTTGGAATATGAGAAAGAGAGAGGGAAAAGGAGAATGAAGAGAGAAAATATAGTGGATATATTATAGGCTGCCATGGATGATGCTTTGAATGCATAGAAAGATGGAAAAGAAAATGAAGAGAAAAAGGATATGGAAATAAAAAAAAATATATGGATTAAGAGGAAAATGGGGATTGGATGGAAAGGAAAAATAATGTGGAATAGACTTTAAAATATGATTGGAAGATTGGAATGACTCTTCTGTCCTTGTTGGTGAATGATGTCAATTTATAGAATATGAAGTTGAGAGTTTAATTAATTATTTTGGTAATTTATCACATAATTAATTAACATTAATGGAATATTCATAGATCTTTTTGTTTTGTTTACTATTTTTACTATATATATATATATATATATATATATATATATATATAATTATCAATTAAGTTTATGGTATGCTGATAAAAACATTATTTTATTTTTGGTTTGTATTAGGTTTCAAGTGCAATGCCAAAGAAATTATTCCATTCTCTTATTTAAAATATACATATTATTATGAGAAATTATTTAAAAAATATAATAGAAATGATATACTATTTAGAAATTTTCATTTCTTTTGTGACAAGCAAAACTCAAATAATTTGCTCAAAAAAATGGATACCCTACCAAAGAGAAGAAGCAATGGACAAAAGGTCAATCAATCCCAATCTTTCATGGTTAGATTTGGATGTTGCTCTAAGGCAAGCAAAATTATTATTCTTTATAAAAGGAAAAAACCCTAACCCTAATCACAATGATGGGTCGTAAACTAGGGTTAACTAACCCATTTAAGGGCAATCTAGTCAAATTAAACCGACTCAATCTTGACCTTGGTTAACACATGAAGCATGTAACGGTTGCATATTGCAGTTAAAAAGACAGAACAAAATACCCAACACTCGAAGTCCTTGTCATAATAGTAACCGAAGGGCAAATATATAATTTCATCTTCCACAGTTTAGACTCTTGATTTTTTTTTAAATTTAATTTGATTTTTCGGTTGTGTATAGAGCCATAGGCTATTAAGTTTCAGAGTTTGTTGGTATTTGGAACTATTCCCAGAAGATCTTAAGAAAAGAATTTTCTGACAAAATGGGACAAAAGATGTGCTTTATTTACCTTATTTGCCACTTTGGGAATGAAAAGAGTGACAGTAAAATTTGTAGTCAAGTGGAGAAAGTTGGTTGAATATATTAATGATTGGGTTAGGAGCTAACGGACCTATTGTAGGTGACCCACCCATATGATTTGACACAGATGGACCAACTTGGCATTCTCAGCTGGCCATATCCTTACAAATAACATGTAATTATAAATAAGTAAAAAAGTATCAGGCCCTTGTAATTTTGAAAAAAAATCAGTATGACCCTCTTACTATTTTTCTCTTAATGTGATCCTCCAACTCAAAGAACAAATCTAATATGTCTTTTTGACTAATATTTTTTGTCATTGATCATTACAGTGCTGACGTGATAGTTCATGGTGCTGACGTGGCCGATTTAGCCCATACGTCATGTAATCTATCGCATTATCAACCGTCGTGGATTATTACGTCAGTACTATAATGGTCAACGACGAAAAATGTTAGTCAAAGTGTCACATTAGATTTATTTTCTAAGTTGGAATGTCACAATGAGAGAAAAATAATACGAGGATCACATTGAGTTTTTTCAAAAGTACAAGGACCTTTTATACCTTTTTGCCTTATAAATTAGTGTACAATAAACTAAATTTAATTTAATAAAGAAAAAAAATATAAATTTATTATAAACAATGAAATTATAAATAGCATAAATGCATAAATTTCTAGTGCATTCTATATCTGTTATATATATAAAAAATACCCTCATAACATACTTATAAAACTAATGTCTAAAATATGAAAAATTTTACAACGCTCGACGAGTATCGTTGGATACCACTAACGATGAGCATTCATTTAATTTATATAAATTTAAAATTTTAAGAACTCATCGTATAATTATAAATTAGTTAAAATTTAAAAGTAAATTAGTTAAAATATAAATATTTATTATATTATTTTTCATTATCTTTTTTGGGTAAACTATAACAGTAACTACCTAATTATTGCCCTTTTTCATTTTGATCACTATTTTTGAAATTTTGTCAATCAAGTCACTAAACTATTTAAATGCATTCAATCAAACCACTTGCCATTAACAATTAACAGAAGTGTTGACGTGACAGTTAACAAAATTTGTATAATTACACATTTATTCATTATTACTTACACAATGTATCAAATTGATCATATTTTGAAATTAATTCAATATATTTTATCCTCCAATCATATAACTTCAAATATTTTATATTGAAATATTAACAAATGATACATAGAGAATTATCCTCCAATCACATAACTTCATATTTTTGAATTATAATTTGATGATTTAAAATAAAAAAGGGGAAAAGGAGAATCAGTGGATCAACAACGAAATATGTTTGAGATGATTTTGTAGTTGTTGATATCGATATGTATACAATAATCCAAGTTTCACATGGTATTTTTTTTCGAGTAACAATACTTATAATATTTTCTATCATTTTCATGTTTTTTTTATTTAATATTGTTTTATATCTATATTTGTAAGTCTCATATAGATTGAGTTACAATTTTGATGTTTATTAAGATACATTTTAATTTTTTATTAAAAAATTAAGTAAAATATTATTTGTTTTTATCATTGATGAACTTCTAACAATTAATTGATATTATTCGAATAAAAAATTTATTTTTTAAAATCTACTTAGTCATTAGAAAATTAACAATTGACATGATAAAATCATCAAATTATAATTCTCTATGTATTATAAAAGATTTTGAAGTTATATGATTGGAGGATAAAATATATTAAATTAATTTAAAATTATAACCAATATGATAGATTGTGTAAGTAATAAGGATTAAATATGTAATACAAATTTTATTAAACACCACGTCAGCATTTTTGTTAATCGTTCCGTTTAATGACCTGATTGACAAAATTTCAAAAATGACGGTCAAAATGAAAATGGACAATAGTTAGGTGATCACTGATATAGTTTACCCAAAAAGATTATGGAAAATAATATAATAAATATTTTATTTTAACTAATTTACCTTTAAATTTTTAACAAATTTATAATTATACGTTGAATCCTTTAAAATTTAAAATTTTTATAATTTAAATTAATGAAGCTCATCGTTAGTAGTGTGCTCGTTGAACGTGAAAGAATCGTCTTTTATAGTTTTAAAATTTTATAAATTAGATTAATGATATTCGTCGTTACCCGTTGAACGTAAAAAAATCATCTATTCGGAACTTTACACTTGTCCAAGGCAAGACATCTGAAATCTTAAAAGATATGGCTGAAGCATGAAAATGGGCTTAACCGAACCAGGTTGGCTATAACCCAAAGTAGAGGTGTCCCAAATGGCCGAATATAGGACTTTTAAAGGTAACATAAAACGAAATATCGAGAATTTCGATTAAATTCCGTAGGCGGGTTAATATATATTTTATTTTTGAGAACTACAACATTTGTTAGTGTAAATAAAGAATTTGTCATGTAAACATATCAAGTTTCAATAAAATATATTTCTTATTATTGGAACTATCATTTCGACAAGATAAAATTGAATAAAAATTATATTTTAATAGAATTCGTCATTTTGACGTGATGAATTTAAATAAAAAATATTATTTAGGCAAACTCGTCATATGGACGTGACGAGTTTGCCTGAACTGTAACATTTGTCGTAGATTCCAATTAATTTTGGAAATGACCTAATAGGCTAATTTTTTACTCGCATGACCTATTGGGCCAATTTTACCCGAAATATCATATAATTTTAACCTAATACCGTAGGTTGGCTAATTATTTAGCATAATATGATACAATGCAATTTATTTAGGGATCTACGACATTTGTTATTGTGACTTGAAACTCGTCACGTTGAGGTTACAAGTTCTAATAAAAAAAATTATTTAAACTTTTTATCATGATGTGATAAAATTTAATAAAAAATATATTTTATTAAAATTTTTACTTCGACGTGATGTATTTGAATAAAAAATATTATTTTGGTAAACACATCATTTCGATGTGATAAATTTCTTAAATATTATAATAAATATTATATATCCCTAAATAAACTTCAATATAACCTATTAGAAAAAGTAGCTGACCCTATTCTCATAGGATTAATTAATATTTGATTGATTAATAAAACTGTTTGGCTGGTGGGAAAAAATCCCCCCCCCCCCGGGAAATATCAATGCCAATAACCCAAACACAATGTACTGTCAAAATCTGGACTTGCCATGAATTATTACAATCTGTTGGAAATATCTTCCAAATTATTCGGTTTCCAACAGACACACATCACTTTCGAAAGCAACAGGTTTGAAAATCAACAACTGTCCCAACCACTCCCGGTCCATTTATTCTTCTTTAAAACCCTAGTCAATGCATGATGAAAGCTTGCCGGTTGTGTCAAAACCATCTTGTTTAAGTAAACCAGAGTGGTTAGCAGGAAGAAATACCAGATAATAATATTTTTAAGTGTGGTTTAGTTGACTAATGATTATTTATAAACAGTTTAAAGATTGGAATTTGTTTAATCAATCGAATTTAGCAGTGCTTGATGGTTGGAAGACATGTCCAAAGCAAGGTTCTAATTAGATATTTGTATAATCATTGTCATTGCAGAAAAAAACCCACAAATTGTCACAACAGAACCTGTCCCAGATTCAAAGTAGAGCAGTATCCATACTTGTCTTAGAACTTGGTTGAATGTTAACTGATCCACCATTGTTTACTGCATTGTTTTTAATTTATCTGCTTATTAAACAATGTTTCAATCAGCAATCAATGATACAAATTCTGGTTATTTTCAAGATTTGTTTTTGCATGAATAATGTGACCCCGGTATGCATACAAAAATGGTGGTCCAATTCATGTTAGGGACCATGAAGAAAATCTCTTACGGGCTTTTGCATGAATAATGTGGCTCGGAGACCTCAGATAAGTCTAGTTTTATTTATTTCATGTTGTCCCAACTGTCAGTTTCATTACATGTTTTTCCTATTAATTGTTAGATTAAACAATGCTC